TATCAAAACTCAGCCAAATTGTGTGTTTCATGATGCTAAACGCCTTTGGAAAGTTGCTAAACAGGATTAGAAGCAAAAAACGTGTGGAAAACTTGTGATTAGAAGCCAAAACAAAGATATCAAAATCTGACTTGTGATGAAACTTCAATTTCAAGTTACCAAATTCAAATCAATGGCATTCTCAACTCAAGGGGTATTAAGGCATGATTCTTGATGCTTTAGAAAGATGAGATTACAAGCTTTGCAATGGGAAAAGGATGGAATAAAATTGATGTTTGAGATGAAAGTTGCAATGAGTCAAAGTTTGGAAAAAGAAGTTGACTTTCCATACTTAGAAATATTTCAAGTTTTTCTTCAAAAGTGACCTATAATATTTTGCATCCAAACATGGCCTTCCTCTTGGAATTTGCTCTTAACCAAAAAATATGGCATGAAACAAACCTCTTTAATGACATTTTGAAACTTGAACCATTCAAAATCTACAAAAATTGAGAGAGTTATGAATTGTTGAAGTTGGAAACAAAATCATGAAATGACCTATAATATTTTGTATCCTTAGGGCATATTCCATCCATTTTCTCACTTTGCACATAAAATAAGGAATAAAGTTCACATCCTAAAGATCATTGTGGAAAAAGAGTGGGCTCAAGGTGATAAAATTTGACCAAGTTATGATCATTTGAAGTCACACATGGGAAATTGGGGGTTCATCTGGAGGACTTGTAACCTTTCTTCATCACCAAGTTTCTTCCACATGAAAACTCCTTGAAACTTTAGAAGTGAATTATTAATAACCCTTTGAAGAGAAGGATGTTTTTGTAATCACTCAAAATACCAAAAGATGAGCAAGATATACTTCTTTGAACTTTAAAACCCTAGCTCCTAGATCAAGAGAATGCTTTGAGGAACTTTGACAATTTTAAACAACCTTCTCGTATTAACACTTTTGCTTTGTAGATAGAAGTTGTTTAGGATGATAATGAGAACTCATAGAAACCAAAACCACTTCCATATCTTGAGAATTAAGAGAAATACGCACTTGTGACCAATGGGAACAAGGTCTTGTCCAACCATGACAACTTCTTCAATCAACCCCTTGTACTTTTGAATCAATCTTGATAACTTTGAAATATGGTGAACCAAAATAAACCTCGCCATGCCATTTATTCCAAAACAACTTCAATGAGGTTTGAATTTCTCAAGATTTATTGACTAGGGCGTGGAAATAAACTCATGAACCCATGGATCAACTTGCTAAGCCACATTGCCTTTACCTACATTATAAACAAGTAAGACAAACCAACATTGCATTTTATTAATTAAAAGGAAAGTCAAAACAAAACATGCATGATCACAAAAGAAAAATAAGTTAAGGTGCTTGGTGATTCCTCAAAGAGAAAAGCTAAAGATAGGGAGGAGAACCAAAAGCCCTAATGTGATCTTGTTGTGATTGAATCAATATTGTATGATGAAGGGATCTTAGGGGCAAAAATTGGGGTACAACAGTATGACCAAGCAAAGATCTCAACATAGTCATGCAACATCTTGATTAACCTGTTCTTTACAATGTCTTCTAGGTTGGCCCTTATCTTGGCTTCTTTCCTGTCTGCTTCAGAACCTATGTTTACAACCTCGACTAGCTCTTCACGTGGTTGAATAGCTTTTTCCTCTTGCACTAACAGTCTAGCAATTTCTCTAGGTATTTCACAATCTTCCTCACCTTCGTCCTCGACTTGGTAGATCAAATTTTCAAAGTCATAAGTGGCAATAGCAGAATTGTTATCAACGGGATCTAGAGTGGATGTGGATCTGCAATTTATTGTATGAGTGTGTGTAAGAATACATAGCTATTTTGAAAGTGTAATAAAGTAAAAAAGAAAGGAAAAGAGCGCAAAATTTGAATGCAAAACATCTAATGTTTTATTAAATGAAAATATGCGAATGAAATGACAACCCTTAACAAATGGACCATTGTGCCCCAGGTAAGACACAAGGCTTAAAGTCATTGTTTAAAAAATCACATAACCAAAAATTTGAAAGCAATAAAATAGAAAGTAGTTATTACTCATGACTAAAGGAGATTGAGATAAGGTCTTCAGTCTTCCAGTTGCTGAGTCTGTTGCCGATGGTAGGAAAGATCTAGCTGTTGAGGTTGTAATAATTGTCAGCATCTTCTATAGCGTTGACTCTGTTGTTGCTGACACGGAATGATGGTCTTCCAGCAGGCGCATGACGAACGGCCCTCTGAGCCTCTGCAGTAAAACCAAAACCTTGTCAGATTTATACAGGATGTCGGGAAGCTGAACCCAAGTAGTGCAACCATCTTCTTCTATTACAGCTCTAGTATTCTTCAACGAAGGCATTCTGGGTGGGACCATAGTAACTTTTGGAATAGTAGAAAGGTCTTCAGTAGGGTAGGAGAGACAACTTCAAAAGTATGGCAGGGAGTTTCAATGAATTCACTGTCCATCTCAACATACCTGAATGAGTTTAAGTGACTCACCATATACTCTTCTTTGCCGAAGATTGTAACAATCTTTCCTTTCACATGATACTTCAGCTTTTGGTGTAAGGTCGAAGTAACAACGTCTGCCCATGAATCTAGGGGCATCCGAGTAAACAAGAATAAGCCAGTCGGATATCAATCACATAGAAGGTAGAATCAAAAACCTGTGAACCTACATTAATCGGAAGATCCACTTCTTCGTGTACCATCCTCTTTGAATCGTCAAAGGCTCAGACTATAATATCATTGGGTTTCACCATAATCCCTTCATAGTCAAGCCTGTCGAAAGCACCCTTTGGTAACACATTCAACGAGGAACATGTATCAATCAATACATGCGCTAAAGTAGTTCCCCTGCATTCAATAGAGACATACAAGGCCTTGTCGTGGTTTCTTCCTTCAGGGGTCAAGTCGGCATCAAAAAATCCTAGCCCATTGTCAGTAGTTAGGCTAGCAACATAACTTCTAAATTGATCGATGGAGATTTCTTGTGGAACGTGAGTAGACTTTAAGAACTTTACTAAAGCTTGTGCATGGGCTTCAAAACACAGTAATAGGGATAACATGGAGATTTTAGAGGGGGTCTGCCCTAGCTGTTCAACAATCTTGTAATCACTTTTCCTGATGATTTTCAATATCTTCTCCAACTCTTTCCTGAAGGTATCTTCAGTGGTAACTTCTTTAGGTGCCTCTGTCTGGGCAAGCTCTGCCATTTTCTATATGCCCCGAGCCTCGGTAATTGTCTTGGTAGCGGTAACATGAACTGGTGTAGCGACAGTCTTCGGGGAAATTTTCAGAGAGAAAACTCTTCCACTTATAATAACCTTACTGGTCCCAGCAATATTGTCAATGTTGCAATTAGTAACTTCAGTGTATTCATGTTCGGTGGTTGATAGTTCTTGCTTGACGCCATGGTAGTACCATAGTTCCAAGGGATAGATTTATCCGAAGAATATGGAATAGGTCCAGGTGTGGCAATTATCAGAGGAAAAACTTTGGGTTTCGTAGTTATCCTTACAGAACCCTTGGAAGTGATCCTGATAGGAGTGTTGTATATTCCAGATACCTCTTCCAGTTCCAAGTCTTGCAAAAAAATTTCAACAGACGGAATCTTCTCAACCAGAATTAAGTGATTATCCATTAGACGTTGAATATCTTCTTCCAACAACTTGCAGCAATTTGGTTGCGATGCCTGCAGCAGATTCTACTTGATAATCGGGAGGGGAGTAGCCAAATCACTTATAGTAGAAACATAAAGAACATCATCAATAACATTAATTCCTTTTTAGTGCTTAGGCATTGGTGCATTAATCACGTTGGGGGTCTCATAAGGATCGAACTCAATTTATTTATTTTCAATCATGTCTTGAATTTTGTTCTTTAAAGCCCAACAACTATTGGTGTCGTGCCCGGGGCTATTGGAATGTAGGCACATTTCACATTAGGATTCTAGCAAGGAGAGGCAGTGTTGGGATTCTGAGGAGGGTCCCTCAGTTTAATCAGCTATGCTTTCAGTAAATGTTGTAATGCCTGAGACAATGGTATGTTAATATTTGTAAACTGTCTTCTAGGTGCATCTGACCTACGCTAACTATTTTATTGGTGTTGTTGAGCAGGTGCAGGATTAGAAATCAACACAGCTCCTATAGATGGATTCTGATTATCTTTAGTACGACCCTTCTGGCCATTAACCTTGAACCAGGTTTTAAACTGGGGGAAAAGAAGAGCAATCGACCCTTGGCTAGATACAATCCCTAGTGATGTCAAAGCACACTCTGCCCTATAGCTCAGATGCAAACATGATGTAATAAAATCATGAAAGATTACATGCGGATATAAAATCATGACAAATTATATGTTGAAATAAAATTATAGAAGATAACATAATGAAATAAAATTATGGAAGACTATGCAACAAATAAAATCACATACTACTAAATAATGAACAAATCCAAGCAAAGGAGAGGAAATAAAATGAGTAACCAAACCATGTAACAAAGGAATAGATTTATTAACAGAAAATTCATGACATGTTTGATAATACATTATACAATTGCCAAAATCAGCAGCAAACTACAAGCACTAATCAACAACCATATGGCTCACTCATCATCATTGACTAGAACCTAGTCCAAGACCACCTTCTCTGGGTTCAATAACTTCCAAGGGATCTACAAGATGGGACAAAACAACTCCACATAGTCGATGGAATTCTGTGAGGTGGTGTTTGATGCCATCATTGATTGAGGCATCATGCTCCTTCTTCACCTCGACCAATCAATCTTCATGAGCCTTTACCTATTTAGAACAATATTCCATTTCTTTTTGAAGGGTCTTACCGACCTCTTTAACCTTGGAAGCTAATGTTTTTTGGGACTTCTCAGAATTGGTCAAAGAAGTCTAGACTTCTCCAAGGACTTTCTAATTCTCTGCCAAGGATTCTTTTAGGAAGAAGACCGTTGAGGTAAGATTAGAAGAGATAAATTGGGTCTCCATGTCCTTTTCAAGACTAACGAGTTTTTCTTGGAGCTGGTTTTATTCATCAAGATCAAGGTCATGTTCGCCTTTTAGAATATGTCTCTCCTTAGAAGGGTTACAAGGTGAAAATACCTCACCACGACCAGCAGTCGTCAAGGAAAACAAGGAAGCACCCAAATATTTATTGGAGTTCTTCTAAGCAATTAGCTAAAACTTAGCCTTATTAAAGAGGTTCTGAAGGTAGGTTTTGTCCTCTTAGAGGATGCAAGCCTACACCTCGTTGACATTATGCGACCCTCGTGATATAAATACATATGGAAGTTTGAAGACAAAAATATCATATGAGTTGCCTCATAGGGTTACCCTTTCATAGATAGGACTTAATGGCTTATATTTTTTGGAAGGATTACCCTTTATGTCTTGACTATTTCCACGGTACCTCTTAGTAGTTCACTAGTAGCACATGAGGGCGAGTTGTGAAACTTCTTGCTACGAATTTCAATAAGTGAAGTATCATTTTCTCTTATGGACCGCTCGTGTCTCCACAATAAGTGAAGTATCATTTTCTCTTAGGGTCACATTTGTTCCTATTTTAATTGGGGACATAGTAGGATTTGGGGAAGGAGATGGAAGAGCATCCTTCGCCATGTGGGCCTTCTTCCCCTTCAAGATATTCCCAAGCACATCCATTTTAGAAAAATGAAATAAAGAAAACAATCAACATATTTTTTTTCAAATAATAAAGGTGAACATGAATATAGTTTTCTCTCCCTAGAAAAAAGATATTTTCTCTCAGAAGTCATGGTTGATTCCATAATCAAACCTGTATTTATATATATCATTTCTATTGTGAGGGAGATACATAGAAAAGGATAACTCCCTCTTCAAAACCTAAACTCTCCCAAAAGGCGGCCAAGTCATTTTTCAATGGCTCTTCTTTCAGGGTCAAAGAATCAGAAGCAAATATATGTGTTTTTGGAGGGAGAAATAAATGGTTTTGGTCCAAAAATTCCAAATCATGTATTTACATTTCATCGGATCTGAATAAAGGGGCTTGAGAGGGAAGATTCTCCTTCTGGAAGAATGAAAACTGAAGAGAAAGCCTCTTTTTATCATGGAGTCACCAAAAATTAATGGTCTTTGAAGTTTTTTTTAGTTCTCAAGATAAACGTTAAACATCTTTAATGATTGGCAAAGGGTGAGAAACTGATAAGTGCAAAATTGTAGTTATTTTGTATATCATTTTTGTTGCACTTATAGACTCTTGGTTGTTAATATCATTTGAATAACCCAACTTTGTGTATAAATATGTTTTGTTTGTGTATAATGCATTTTCGTGTATAAAGTGTATCGTTTGATAGTTTTGTACTTATTTTGTAGTTATTTGAGCATTGTTGGAGCAAGAAGAATAAAGCTCCAAGATGCATTTTTGATCAATGAAGAATAAAGCTAAAGATTGGAGCCAATTGAAAGTTATGCATGAAAGCAACAGAAGATGCTAGACTCTCATGGATCACCGGGTGAAAAAGACTGTCGCTAGATGAAATTTGAAGGCCATTTTTGATGATTGCCTCTACCTTGCTCCACTGCTGCATCACCAGGCGAGGAATAAAGGTGTCGAAGGGAGAAGCTTTCTATCGTCGGGCGATGGAGGATATTTTTGATCTGCTGAGGATGTGGCTTATCCAGGGCCAAGTGAATAAGAGACGTCATTGGGTGACGCTTTATTCACCAGGTGATTCTCGCAAAACAACATTTCTTTATATTTCCTTTTAATTTCATTTTTGGGTGGATGGTTTTTGGGGTATTTATTCCCAAATTCTATCACCTTCATTCTTGATAGTTAGAGCCTAGACAACAACAATTGTGGCTTGCAAATGGATGATCCAGGGTCGTGAGTTTGATGATTCGTGTTTGACACCGCACGCAATCTGGTTTCTTCTCCTCTTCCTCTCTTTATAACCATTATTTTGGCAGATTTTGTATGTAACTTTACCTTGATTATATGCATATGTATTTCTCATGGTGTTGTATGAAACTTTGTTTCCAAATCTTTATTGATGTTTATCCTTGTTAGCTTGCTAAGTGTTTGGGTTTAAGTTGTCACAGAGATGGACGAATTGAATATAGATTTAGGATGAATATCTATTGGGCTTAGATTCAAAAGATAGATTTAGGATTATTAATCACTTAGGTATCGACTCTTAATTCCTCCGTGTTGTTTTGTGTTGTGCTGAGAGATCATCAACACAGAGCGACGCGGTTGATATCTCACTCTGCATTAGAAATGATCTCTATGTGAGTGATACGTGATGATATTGACGAGTAGTTAAGGTTAAGTACAATCGAGTAGTAAGTTTAAGTATGAGATTGGGTGGACGAAATACAAACTCGAGAGTTCTATCCTATTCGAGTGATGAGATTCTTCTTGTGTATAACTTTTAATTTCAGCACCTTACATACCAAAACCCATTGAAAACTAGACTCATAAACGCGAGAATTTGTTGAACGGAAATTCAATAACTAATATTTATGGACACGATACAATATAACCTACATCACCCGGTAAATTAATAACTTACTTTTTGCTTACCTCCCTATACCGCAACAACAAAATGGCGTTGTTGTCAGGGATTAGTTCTATTGTTTTTGCATCGCGATAATTTTTTGTTTTTGAGTTTTGTAGATATCATGTATATTATTTATTTTTACTTGTGTATATTGATACTTGTATATGTTTACTATGCTTATAAATTTGTTATATCATTGTTTGTTTCCTTTCATGTTTGCTTGTGTGTTGGTTAGGAATAACCAGGTGGAAGCAACTTGGTCGAACATTCTTAAATAACAAGCGTCTTGCTTATGACGCAAAACAAGCATGTTTTATCATTTTCCATTTTATTAGTTTGGGTAGTGTGTTAATTGTTTAAACAAGTTGAAATTGGACCTGTTCTAAAATCTCAAATCTTCACTTTTTCAACTTTTTTATTTCACTTTCATTTGTTTGTTTTTGTTTTTGTTGTTTGGACTCGAATTTTGGCCCGATATATTGAGGAATTTAGAGGAGATTTTCCAAGTTTGAATGCTTCAACTTACGGATGTATGGTAATGATAGTGTCTTGAAGTTAGTACACTCCAGGTACTCAATTATCGCTTTCTAAAATATAGCATATTTAGGAGACTTTTCTTTTGTATAATTTTCATGTCATTCATTCTTTTGCAAATTGTGTTCACTTTTGAATTACTTTAGAACTAAACCCCTGGTGAGGATGCTTTCCATTGTTTAATATAAACATGGGAGACCGATAATTTTTTATTAACTCAATTTTATTATGTTTAATCTTGCATTTATGTTGATTCGTATGAAAGCATGATATTATCAAGGCATGTTGTTTGATTTTGAACACAACTACCTAGCCAAATAGTCAATTTCACCTTATGAGTGTGTGATCATTTGTAACCCCTTTGAGCCTTTTGTCACTATCCATGTTGTTTGAACTTGATGCTTGTCTATGAGTATTGAATTCACTTTTTGAATGGATTTTGATTGTTATTTTTTCTTGAGCCCTCAACTTTGTGTTGTTGTATGAATTTTTGCCTTGCCTTAGAATGTAGGGAGTATTCACATAATGGTATGGTTGAATTCAAGTTGGGGAGAAAAATGATTGTGTATTTATTGGTTGATTGCTATGAGGTTGAAAAATAAAAAGAAAAAAATGTGAAAAAAAAGTGATAGAAAAAGAAATAAAAAAATGAAAAAAGCTTTGAAAAAGAAAAACAAAAAGAGTTTGAATAATGTTATGTTAATAAGAATGGTGCTTTGGTGTGAAATTTGGGATTCGGAATAAGTTTACTTGGAATTTTATGTTTGAATCTTTGGTGAATTGATCCCTCCCTTAGGTTTAGGCAAGTTTTTGTTTCAATTAGCCTTATGAATTATCTCTTGTTTGTTCACCCGGCCATGTTACAACCTTTGAAGCCCTTGTGATTTTACTTTTGTGATTTTCAATATGAACTTGCTTTGATGAATGCATAATTTAGTTGTTGTTAGCAAGATTGTTGGGTGAGATTTGAGCACCTCATGTTTGTGTTTTTCATCTACCGATGAAGTGTATGTTAGGTGTGATTCACTTGTGAACATTGTATTGTTTTAGAATTTTTGACATGTGCTTTGTATTTAGGAGTTGTTTTATTTTCATGTTATCTTTGTAGTTTAGTGGTATGTTTTTGCCTTATGTGTACGTTTTTTTATTTTGAACCATACATTTGTTTTCGGTTTTAAAAACCTGTTGATTCGTGATTCCTTGACTATTGTTTCTTTGCTCTTTGAGTTGTTTGGTCTTGTTTGAGGATAAACAATAATTCAAGTTGGGGAGAGTTAGATAAGTGCAAAATTGTAGTTATTTTGTATATACTTTTTGGTGCACTTATCGACTATTGGTTGTTAATATCAGTTGAATAACCCAACTTTGTGTATAAATATGTTTAGTTTGTGTATAATGCATTTTCGTGTATAAAGTGTATCGTTTGATAGTTTTTTACTCATTTTGTAGGTATTTAAGCATTGTTGGAGCAAGAGGAATAAAGCTCCAAGATGCATTTTTGATCAATGAAGAATAAGGCTAAATATTGGAGCTAATTGGAAGTTATGCAGGAAAGCAACAAAAGTTGCTGGACTATCATGGATCGCCAGGCGAAAAAGACCGTCGTCGGGCAAAATTTGAAGGCCATTTTTGATGATTGCCTCTGCCTTGCTCTGCTGCTGCATCGCCAGGAGAGGGATAAAGGTGTCGCTGAGCAAAGCTTTCTATCATCGGGCGATAGAGGATATTTTTGATCTACTGAGGACGTGGCTTATCCTGAGCCAAGTGAATAAGAGACGTTGTCGGGGGACGCTTTATGTCGTTGGGCGATTCTCGCGAAACAACATTTCCTTATATTTCCTTTTCATTTCACTTTTGGGTGGATGGTTTTTGGGGTATTTGTTCCCAAATTCCATCACCTTCATTCTTGATAGTTAGAGCTTAGACAACAACAATTGTGGCTCACAAATGGATGATTCGGGGTCGTCAGCTTGATAGACCGTGTTTGACACCGCGGGAAATCTGGTTTCTTCTCCTCTTCCTCTCTTTCTAACACTTATTTGTTGGATTTTGTATGTAACTTTACCTTGATTATATGTATATTTATTGCTCATGG